TGGCCACCGCCTCGGCGTCCTCCCACGGACCAGACACGCGCTCCACCTGGTGCACCACCACCGACGCCTCCTGCGGGTGCTCCACGTGCACGCTCACCATAGACGCCACTCCTGGTGGGAGGCAGGGCGGGCAGAGGACGTCTACAAGGGCTCTTAGCGGAGGGGACTAGGGAGGGAGGAAGGGCGCGCTGGGTGAGTGTGCTTTAGAAGGCGGCCTGGCTGGGGGCCGAGGAGCAGTGAGGCGCTGGAGAGGGGGCGGAGCAGACCCGGGCCACACTCCTCACCGTGTTCGTCGTCGCGGTGGTTGGCCAGTGGCATGGTGTACACGGAGCGGGTGAGACCCGGCATGGCCGGGGCCGGGGGCCGGGCGCCCGAGGAGTGCAATTGGCAGAACTTGCCAGCGAAGTCCGGGGGACAGAGGCAGCGGTCAGGCTTCACGCACACACCTCCGTTGTGACAGATCAAAGGGCAGAGGACTGGCGCGGGGGAGAATGAGGGTACTCAAAGTGCTCAGGCGCCAGGCAGCTATTTCTGCAGCCAACAACGCACCCAGGCTAGTTCAGCCCCCAGCACTAGAATTAGGCTCTCAAACGTACCACTCACCGTAAACTCTTCCTCTCAGCTGCCTGTGGCCCCGCCCCGATTCGGGTCCGCGGCTTGAGCAAGGCCAGTAGTTCAGCCCTCCGACGTGACCCGGCCCACTAGGTCGGCTCGCCACGCCCTCCCGTTCTTCCTTCACTTTCCCGTCACCTACTCTTCAGGAGTCCCGTAGTTCCCACTGTTTTGTTGAGTATTAGTGGCTGAGCCCGCCCACTCCAGTTTCTCTTAGCGTTTAGTTCTATCCATTCCGTCATTTTGGCTGGGTCCTCTGCTGTTTCAGCCCCTCCGACCCCTGTCCCTTCCAGCGATTCAAACTACATTTTAGCCACTCCTGGGAGCAACTCCCCCTTCCCAACTGTCTCCTTCGCATTCTCTGCCCGCTAGTGCCCCCTCCCCAAACAATCCTCCACGTTCGAGCTCCGCCCACTGGCCACGCTCCCATTTCCAGCTCAGTCCTTCACCTTCTACCTGCCGGATTCTACACCCCACTTGTCCCGGAGACTAACCTGCAGCCTTTGGCCCCGCCCACCCCCTTTTCTGGCTCTGATTTGCCCCACCTCACTCACTCATGCCCCTCCCACCGCACCTCCGGGCTGGCGGGCTTCTTAGCACCGCCCATCTCCCACCGCCCACTTCCCCTCGCTCTTTGGCTCCAGAGTTCTAGCTCCGCCTTCCCGCCTCCAGTAGCACCGGGGCGGGGCAACCAGCGGGAACGCGCCTCCTCTCCCCCTCTGCGCGCCCTCGCTGGGCCCCTGGCCACCTCTGGGCGGGGCACTGCCAGCTGTGCGGCGGGGTAAACAAAGAGAGGGGTGCGGCGGGGGCTGGGCGGTGGCTCGGCATTCCGGACCCTTGTTGAGTCCTGGGACCGCAGAGCCAAAGGAGGCCGGACGTGTCTTTCCAGGGCACCCCCTCCCTTTCTCCCCCGGGGCTGCAGAAAACAGCTGGAAACAGCTGTGCGGAGAAGGGGGCCGGCAGCCCGGCGGTCCAGGGAGGTGTGTGGGATTCTGAACCACAGCTGAAAGTACAGGGGAGTCACCTCAATTTAGGGTCAGGGGACAGGAGTCCTTGGGAAGAGACTAGCTGGAGGGCATCACTCTAGGATTCAAAGACTCAAGGTTTCTGGGACCGAGGGGGAGCCAGCTCAGATGAAACGGGTTCTCTTTCAACCAAAGGAGCCTTTCAAGTCCCTCTGGGGAACAGTTACCTAGAAAACAGGACTCTACTGCCTTCTGGGGGGATGACCCATTTGAGTGCTGAGAACAGGATTAGGTGGAGAAGTGGAATTCCTGGGAGTCCCCAGGGCAAAAGAGCCTCAGCTGAATGGGACTCTAAGATACTCTGAAGACCCCATACTCTGGGCAGCACACTGTGTGGAACCCTCTTGGAGGGAGAATCTACTAATCAAGACCACATCTAGGGTTCTCTGAAAATGGTTAAGATCTACAGTTCCTGAGCAGAGGGAGAGCTGGAAGAGCAGGACTTGGAGACAGGACTGGAATCTCTTTGATAGGACTAGGCGGAAACTCAATTGGAAATAAAAGAAAATGGGAGTCTTGTGGCAAGAGAGTTCCTCTGGGGAGGAAAGTTACCACTGCACAGGGCTGTAATCTAGGGTTTCTCCTGGAAGTAGGGAGAGGTAACTGAGGGACACTGCTAGAGTTCCCTGGTGAGGGGCACTGTTGTGGGTTTTACCTCAAATGCAGGGTGGGGGAACTTCACTGGAGGAGCTGGTGTCTGGAGTGTTTTACACGGTGGGAGGGAGGATAGGGTCTGGGTCAGAAGCTCCCCTATTTAAAGAGAGTCAGACCAGGACTCCAGGTCATTTAATGGGGGTCCTTGAGTAGCAGGGCCTAGGAGAAATATAAGAAATATGAAGTACAATTCCAACATGGCAAGAATCTCTGATGAGGGCGGTAGGAAGCCAGCCAGATCCAGAGGCATTTCCCAGCCTCTGAAGGCATTTCTCTGCTTTCTCTTGGCCTGAGTGCAAGGACCCTAGCCCAGCTCCCTGTGGGTGCCCACAGCCAAATGGGCGCCACTACATAGGCGAGGCCAACTCTATAGAACCTGGAGGAATGGGGAACTGAGGACACCGGGGTCCTGCCAAGGTCAGCCTCCCTTCACATGCCCTTCCTTGTGCCTCCAGGGGCTTGGCACCCGCCTGGGCACGGCGCCTGGCACGGGTGTGTATTGGGCCTGGTGGGGACGGAGTAAAGGAAGGAGAGAGGAAGGGGAGGAGAGAAGGAGTGGCAGTGGGCGGGGTTCAGGCGAGAGATGAGCTCACGTCGGCCGGGGTTGGGCTGGCTGGGGGCCAGACTGGGCGAGTTCTCCGCGCCAGGGGCCCCCAATCCCCGCTCCGGAGGGCCTGAGGGGGTGAGGGGCAAGGAGAGCTTGCCCACCTCTACACTCTGGGAGGACAGGTGGTGTCTTCACCTGAACCCCCGAGGGCTCCCACGTCTAGAGGAACCTGATGAGCGCGGGCCTCTGGTCCCTTGGCTCCCAGGGGTACCCCTACTCCAGGCCTACAATCCGCGTTTTTGCCGCACAGCACGTGGTACCCCTGCGACTCAGGTCTTGCAGAGACAGATATTCACCCCTCACTGCCCTTCTCTGGGCCCTTTCACTCTTCGGTCTCCTCACCCCAAGTCCTCTCCTCAAAGGTTATCCCAAGTCAGACGCTCCTATTCCCTCACCCAAAGACTCCCCCAAGCGGCGCTGAAGACCCATTACGCAGAGCTCAGAATTTGGCCCCCCTTCCCAAAACTCCCGGACCCCTCAGTTCCAGATCTTCAGTTTGACTCAAAGGGAGGAAAGCCGGCCCCAATCCCCTCACGTGGAACACCGCAGGTTCCTGAGAACACTCCTTGCTTTCAAAATCCAGATCCTCAGGACTCACTCCCCAAAGCTGGAGTTTGGAGTCCCCTTCCTTAAATGCCGCAGGGATCCCCCAGCGCTACCGCACCCGGAATCTGGGCTCCTCCCGGGGGGTTGTCTCCCCCATTCCCCGGGAGCCTCCTCCCTCCGGGAAGCCCTCCCTGGGGAGCACCACCCGGCACTCACAGGCGCGGAAGCCGGGTCCCCCCGGGGCTGCCCCGCCGGGTGCGCCGCTGTCCACGCTGGTGG